AAAATGACTTTTCTATGTAACAAGTAAAGTTATTACGCATTACATTAAAATAATTCCTTCATTTTCTTTTTGGCTTTAGTCCCTTTGTTAATCAGGGATCGCCACAGCAGAATGAACCAGTTAAACACAAAAGAAGATATTTTTAAGAATGTTTCCAAGAATCCAGGAGCAGAAAAAAATTCTATGTAAGTCAATGGTTACTGGTTTCCATGCATTCATTCGGCTTAGTCTCTGATTTTAAGGGCTCACCTCAGCACAATGAACCACCAACTATTCCGGCATATGTTTTACGCAGCGAATGCCCTTCCAGGTGCAACCCAACACTGGGAAACACCCACACACTCACATACACTATGGCCAGTTTAGCTTATTCAATTCACCTGTACCGCATGTCTTTGGACTTGTGGGGGAAACCGGAGCTCCCGGGGCTCGAACCAGCAACCTTTTTGCTGTGAGGCGATTGTGCTACCCACTGTGCTTCCCTCAGAAGACAACATTAATATCCAATATTCCAGCCGCAACCTAACACTGGGAAACACCCACACACTCACATACACTACTGCCAATTTACCTTCTTCAATTCACCTGTACTGCATGTCTTTGGACTGTGGGGGAAAGCGGAGCACCCGGAGGAAACCCACGCCAAAAACGGGAGAACATGCAATCTCCACAAATACATGCCCAGCCGGGACTCGAACCAGCAACCTTCTTGCTGTGAGGTGACAGTGCTAACCACCAAGCTACGGTGCAGCCCTTACTGTTTTCCAATAAACAGTTCCTAAACATTTCCTAAAAATTTCTTCCTTTGTGTTCAAAAAATAAACAAAACACAAAAAGGATTGGAACAAGTAGAGAATGGGCCTGTTTCAGTAAGGAGGTTCAACCAACTCGGAGTTTAAACTTGAACTCCGAGTTGATTTTACCGAGAGATTAAAAACTCTTGAGTTTTCGGTTTCAGAATAGCTGATCTGAGCTTGGTCAATCAACTGTGAGTCGACCAACTCAGAGTTAAGCGTGCACACCGCGACTATTACAAGGCATTATCAATGGAGCAAAGATACTACGAGTGACCATTGCAACATCTTAATAAAGAGATCACCGTTTTTTTCTCCAGCTGAACTTGATGTGCTCATGCAAAGTTATAGCAAATATGACCATACATTTTGAAAAGCAACACCACTGCATCAGTGAAACAGAGACAGTTAGCGTGGGAAGACACAGCTGCTCAAGTTAATGCGTAATTTTACATCTAAAGTATTTAAATATTTAAGAATAATACAGTAAGTAATGTTATGTGTGACGTTTATAAAATCTTTACACACGTTCCCACTTTTATAGGCGTTGATCAGTTTTAATAGATTTAAAAGTGCACTTGTGTGTCTTCCTTTTTTATTAATCAAGTGATAGAGGTTGATATGACATTTTGAAATGTAAGCAGAACTAAACAATAGTTTTTAGAAAGAATAATAATCCCATTAATCTAGTTACAGTACATGTCGAAGGTCAGTGAATTTAAGTTAATCATTTATTAAAAAAGGACAAGCCATTCTTGTACGTGCCTTTGTTCTTTGTGTGACTAAAATGTAGTTAATAGCTGTGTTTTTATTCAAATACGTTAATTAAATGTATAAATAGAACAAAATCGTCACTTCCTGATTAAAACGCAGCCAAATATCAACAGCAAAAACAGAATTTACTGCGGTAGAAGAAGCTGCGTCAATCTTTTCTTTACTTAATAAATGTACTTGCGCCTCAGAAGACAACGCTGCCACACAATGAACGCGTGGGGGCATTTGAAGCTATAAGACGTGAAGAACAGACACTCTTAACACGCTCCAGATGCTCTGGAGGTCAAAAATAATATACATTAATACTGAAACGGTTCAGGCGTTTTAGAATGACCAAAACAACACTTTAGATGTGTTACAGTGTGCTCAGCCTGTTGGGTTGTCTGTTCACACACATTTTCATCACCATATGATTTCTTATAACTAACCTTTAATGCACATACTGTAATTTGTTCAGTAAAAGTATTTCCATCATAGTTTGGGGGCATCTTTTCTATCGAATAAAAGTTTATCCTACTCAGTTATTTATGCGTATTTTCAAAAGTTATGTGCATCATGACGTTTCCATCAATCGTTTTGATGCGCATCTCCAAAATGAGCATTAAAATAGGTGGGTGGAAACGTAAGGGTAAGGAGAGAAATACCGCTTTGTCTTTAAAAAAGTGGAGGAGACCGACAGAAACTCAGAGTTTAGAGAATAAAACCTGCTCCTGACCAGGTTATGTTCACAGCGTAAGCTACTGACTCTGAGTTAAAGTTATCTCTCTTTCAGAAACAGGCTTGACTTACCCTGCTTTCTCCAGTTTAACATTACTGCCATTTTGAAATTGAAAACCCAAAGTTTCTCTCATTTTAAGGTTAAAAACTCTGAGTTTTCACTTAACCTCCTTTCTGAAACGGACACAATGAGTAAATGAGAAGAGAATTTTCTTTTATGGATGAACCGTCCCTTGGGGGTTTTTAAAAATTTGCACCCACAACCTTTCCGTTATCAGCCATCAATCTTCAAGCCCAAGCCTATTTACATATCCAAAATCTGCATAAAATATTCATGAGTGGAGTGAGCTTTAGAAATGTACTGTAACCTTTTCAAGTTACCAAACTACATGTTATTCCAGTTACAGGTTGACAGAAACAGAGGATCTGCACAGCCAAGAGGAGCTTTTATCAGAACCACGCACACCCACACACACACTTTTCTAATACTGGATCACAGCCACAACTCACATTAGAGTAAATGCACTTCTGAAAACACAGCCACGAACTTCAGTCACCCCTGAATAACAGACAGTCAAATTGCACAGTCAGAACCTTATTTTCCAGTTTGCACCTACACTTGAAAAAGAAATGAAGAATTGATGGATGGCGGCACTGTGGCTTAAGGCTGATTTATACTTCTGCGTCAAATGTCGGCGTGCATAGTCACGGAGGATGTGCCATATTGAGTTTATATGTTGGCATTATAAATTTGACCAGGAACCACAGTACAGAACACACGTGATTTGTGGAGTCACTGCAGAGTTTTACCCTAATGGAATGAAAGTTTATTACTTGCATGTGTTTTTAGGCCGGTGATTTGTAAGCATTTAGGCACAACAGAGTTTAAATGAAAACCCTTAAAACAATTGTGCATTTCTGAGTGTGCCTCACACAGATGAGTAGGCTTGACAAACCACCTGAAGAAAGACTCTTCTCTTTCAATGCAGTTTCAAGAGTTCACACTTAGCTGATGATTGATAATAAAGCTAGTTTGGCGTGCTGAGCCCTGAGCTTATAAGATCCTCGAGCCCTGGGCTCCCTCCCGTTGCAAGGCGAGAGGGGAGTTTGAGCTCAGGTATATCTCGATGACTCCCCCTCTTGCTTGTTGTAGCTATGTGTCAGATATGGATGCTGAAAGGTGTACTCAGAGTTTAGCTAAAGTATTTGGATTAATTGTTTAAAGTGCTTGTTTTTGAACAGTGGGAGGAAACCGGAGGACCCAGAGAAAACCCACGCGACCACGGGGAGAACGAGCAAACTCCACACAGAAATGCCGTCTGGTTTGGAAAGGAATTAAACCAGGGGCATTTTTGCTGTGAGGCAACAGCGCTAATCGCTGGCCACCGTGACGCCCGTTTCTTCAAGACGAAGATATTGAGATGAGAAAAGTCTGGTTATTTATAGTGAGTTAAGGATCGTCTGATAGGATAATCAGTCATTAGCTAAAGTTGGAACAGCTGTAAACAATCATAAACACGTGATCCTCTTGAAATTTGTTTATTAATAAACTTCACTTAACCGAAAGCATTTGAAAATGGAAAACAGACACATAGAAACCATATGCCTTACGCACTGCTCCTGCTTGAACACGGCTCATGTTCCTGTTCCCAGTGTGAAACCTGGTTGTTTACAAGCACAGCGAAAAAATATGTGCCGCTAAAGTATTCACAGCATTTCACTTTTTCCACATTTGTCACAGCCTTATTTCAAAATGGATTAAATTGATTGATTACCTCAAAATTCTACCACAATAGCCCATAATGACAATGTGAAAAAAAGAGTTGTATAAATTGTTGGAAATTTATTAAAAATTAAAAAGCTGAAAAATCACATGTACAGAAATGTAAATGTAAAAAAATGAACAGAATGTAAAGAGTAAAAGTAATCTTAAAATGAACAGGTCACAATTTCAATAGCAGAGTGTAAATATTGAAACTTAATGGAACTTTAGGACCAAGATTGGTAAAATGTGTTATTAATGGAGCCAGTGTACACTTTAATTGTGTACATGTTGCAAACCACTGACATTGTTACAATCCACACTATAAAAAAAAACATTACATGGTTGCCTAAATAATTTAAGTGGAATCAAATAATCTTATGCTATCAAACTTGAGTTACATTAACTTAAAACAGCTTCTATATCAAAAAGATTTGAAACAAAATTAAATTATTACATTTACCAAGTTATGATTTACTTTAGATTTAGATTAGATTACAGTCAAGAGGTCGAACATAGTTAGTGCTTGATAATATTAGCAGGTTTGGCATGCTGTCCCTAGAGTGAACCCTAAGTTCAGTAATAATTGAGCCCAGGGCTCCCGCCTGGTTGATGAGCATGTAAGGGGGTACGAGATCGGATAGTTCTCGAGAGCTCCCCCTGGTGAAGGAGGATAGGGGGAGATGAGGTGGATGGGGGGGGTTCTTCTAAACGAAGATAAGGAAGTAATGCTAGACGGGATATTTATTGTGAATTTGGATTAACCTGATTGGCTTGCTAATGATTACAGATCATTTATATCACGTGCTCCTCTCGAAATTGGTTTGTCAAACTTAGATGTATTAACCATTATTTACAGTGCAGAGCTGTTGCAACTTGCAACACGAGCATGTAAAAAGTTTTTCTGCTTTTAGTTTAAGATGTTAGACTGATCACGTGATCGTCAAACTTACCCAGATTTGTAGTTTAATCCTCTTGTTGTTCCTAAAAACGGTTTTGACCTTAAAGTCGATCCCCACTGTGCTGACAAAGGCTGAAGTGAAGGAATCGTCCGCGTATCGAAACAGAAAGCTGGTTTTACCGACGCTGCTGTTTCCGATGATGAGGAGTTTAAACATGTAGTCAAAGTTTTGGTCTGCAGCATCTTTCTGTGACGGCTGAAGACGCGAGTCAGTCACTGACGCCATCTAAAAGACAGAAAAACAGACCTTCACTTTTCATTTCAAAGTTTTAAATAAATGCTATAGCCAAAATCACTTTAATATGCTATACATTTACAAGTTGTCGAAAACTATTTAACTTACGTAAGTTTTAAAAACTACAAAAAAAAAAAAGGTCTTACTTATATTGTAGAAAAGGAATAACAGAAAGCTTTGGTGGTTATAAAACCTTGACTTTTTCAAACGACTGTAAACCTTCAAAACAGTACAATTTTTTTTTTCACTTATGCTGGTACCTTAAAATAGTACACGATTGTATCTAAAAAATCTATATTAAGCAGATTACACACGTTTATTTAAATATTTTTTACTTTTATTTATTTCAACTAAAATGAGCATATTATATATATATATATATATATATATATATATATATATATATATATATATATATATATATATATATATAAATAAAACACCATTTTAAGGTCAAAATTATTAGCCCCTTTAAGCTATATATTTTTTTGATAGTGTACAGAACAAACCATCATTATAAAATAACTTGCCTAATTACCCTCACCTGCCTAGTTAAGCCTTTAAATGTCACTTTAAGCTGTATAGAAGTGTCTTGAAAAATATCTAGTAAATATTATTTTCTGTCCTCATGGCAAAGATAAAATAAATCAGTCATTAGAAATGAGTTATTAAATTATTATGTTTAGAAATGTTGCTCTCATTTTCATGTTTTGAAAATCTGCTCTCCGTTACATAAAAATTGGGGAAAAAATAAACAGGAGGGCTAATAATTCTGACTTTAACTGTATATACATATATGATTTTTTTTAAGCCATTTACTATTTTTCCAAGTCTATATAATTACTACTGCAAGAAGAAATCAGAATTCGGTACATACTTTCAGTGTGCCTTTCCTTGAAATGACCCGGCCTAATCCAGCTTATATGAAATAAGCCTGCTCCTGAGCAGGTTTGGGCTACAAAAACTGTTGCTATGACAAGAACTCTCAGATGAGCTTTGAAGAATGAAACTATCCTGAATCATGTCAAATCATTAACAACCAAATCCAGCTAACTGAGCAATCCATGTACCAAGAATGGACCCCAGATTTTTAAATAGCTGTGTCTGCCAAATATTGTCCTACCATAACAAAACATACATCAAGGAAAGCTTATTTATTAAACCTTTAGAAGATGTAGACAGTCACTCCCACTAGCCATTTTGGCTGGTTGAAAACTATTTTTAAATTGTGGTTTTCTTAAAAGCAGTGTTCGACTATGAGCATGACCCATATTGCGTGCAAATGTGATATAAGAATCGAGAAACAGCAGGACAAACAAAAATAATTGCGTTCGCACAAGCAAAGAAAGCAGGTGAAAACCGACTGAGAGGATGATCGCTCGTGCTAACAGCTGATGTAATGCTCGCGACTGTTTAAAACGTGTGCGCGCTCCCGTTTCCTTGCGTGAAGCAACCGTGCCTGGAAGGCAACTGTGTTTGATTCTCTTTCAAATAGACTAGACAAAAAGTTATGCTAATACACCAACAGTCTCCATTTGTCTTTTTGTAAGCAGTACCGGTTACTTTCGCTTTGAACAGATTATTAATTGGCCTTGAACGTGTGCATGTGATCATCCTTTCATTATCACACACGGTATGTTTTTCACCTGCTTTCATTTGCTTACAGTTATTTTTGTTAATATGGTTTAATTATCTTTTTTTTGTTTACAATAACATTGCTTTAATATGAGATTAACTCTCCAATTATGAGTAGTTAACTGGTGATCTGAGAGACCTTTAGCGAGGACAGATTACTGTGCATATTTTCGATACATGACAATAACTATTTTTTAAAAGTCAATTGTTCTTCTTTGTTTTTGTTTTTTTAAAGAAATGTTTTGTTAAATAGAAAGCATAGTATACAGCTATATTTAGCTTGTTTTGACACATTTTAAATTTGTGGCTAAGATATATTTATTGTTTGGTGTGGTCCAAGATAAATTTGGATAATCTTTAATTTTAAGTTCTGAAAAGTCATGTGAAATAAAAACTAATGCAATATAACACTGAAACAATGACCCATTTGCTCATACACGACACAACAATTAATGAGGAGGCATGTGGACATAACACAAAATCTAAATCAAGTGTTTTAGCATGTCAAACTCATATTTATGCATATAAAAAATATTTTTCCAACAAAAAAATTGTGGCTAGTGAAAATACAGAGTGGCTAATAACGTTGGAAAACTACTAGCCACAGTGGCTGGTGATCAAAAAAGTTAATGTCAAGCCCTGTGTACACGTACACACACACACACACACACACACACACACACACACACACACACTGTATGAACTGAATCTGCTGTCCCATTTGAAGACAACATCAACTGAACAAGAAATAACATAAAAACAACACTCACACCTAACACTTTTTTCTTGTCAAATACCCTGCCTCACACTGACTGAAATACATCACATTAAAGAAGTTAGAAAGATTACAAACACAATATCATGCAGACTATACAAAAACATCAGGCATTTTGGTTTGAAAAGAGATTTGGGATTACCCTCTGATCACAACCGTCCACACCGACCTGCATCTTCACCGAGAGGAGAGCTCAAACTAGCAGGAGAACTCTTGGGAAATTGAAATAAAACACTGATCATTCAGAGCCTCGCGACCTGATGGAGAGCGTCTCCATGGCGACGGGGCCCACGGACAAAACCTGCAGACCCATTAAAAGGCAGGCAGACGCTCCTCTCCAGAGGTGGAGATGTTACAACAAAGAGAGTGCACTATTGTCTGGAGAGCACTTGTTAGGTATTATCAATCTGAACTCATTTGCAATAGTAATTCAGTGTGGAGTGAGTACAGAAAGTGGCACTCATGAAGAGGCGCTCATTTTTATGCTTGGTGAATAATTATTCTGATATTTGTGTGCTCAAAATTGCTCTTTTACTATTGAGGAGTTTGTGACTGGTGGTTTATCCTAACGGTCAGGTTTACAGTGTAGGGCAGAGTTGCTAAATGATTGTGAAAGATGATAAGAAACACTCAAGAGGTTTTGAAACGCCTTCCTATTTTAAGTGGTAACTGCTCCAACAAAAACGAATGCGTAGAATGCATTAAAGAGAGGCATGCTTTGCAGAAATCACTCTGCAGTATGTGTACACAACCTCTCTCTAACGGCAAAACAAAACCCACACTTCTATCCCATCCATAGTAAGAAAAGCAAATGCTACAGAAGCCAACATCCTTCAGAATATCTTCTTTTGTGCTCAACAGAATGAAAACGCAAAAAACTAAACTTAAACTTGTCATATAAGACAACAACATGGTCATTTTTAACAAGTAGTTACTTTTTAGTGATAGAATTAGTAGCTCATCAATATGTAGTTTTTTAGTACTGTCTGTTCACACACAGAGGCAGGTTTACATTTTCCTAAAAATCGAAATGTTTGTGTACATTTCATTAATTCAATCTAATTTTCATTAAACAGTTATACATTTTCCCATGAAATATACTAACACTGCATTTAGCTAAGACTTTTTTCGCTCTATTTTAACGATCTAGGTGCAAAGTCTAAAGCACATGGCACAAATGTTTATGTTTTGGGTAGGGCTACAACAACCAATTGATTAAATCGATAATAAATGTATTGCTAAAAGCGATTATTTCATAACCAATTCATTGTGTCACGCCATACAGAGACGTTTGATTATTCAAAAATCACTTAGTTTAGCGCGGAGCGGAGTGGTCTCTCGTGTGCACTAATACAAAGTTTGGCACTTCATAGGCAGGGATGAGGAGGAAGGAAGTTCAGTAGCAGGGTAAATCACTACGGAATCCTAATTCTGTTCTGTTTTGAAGTGAGGACCATAAAGTCCCTGGTGCTGGTATTTTTACTCGTTATCCAGCTTGACAAGCATGACAAGTTAGTGTTAGCTCATTTACCCTTAGAGCAGCGACTGAAAAATTCAAACTGAGCATTAGCGCGATGACTAGTGGTGAGCCAGAAAAAGATGTGTCATATTATCACAATTATGCAGCATTTTACCCGTGTAATGCTTATTTTATGTTTTAGACATGTAAATACCATACGTGCCAACACCATTTTTCCCCGGAGTCTTTTGTATTTCAGACCCATCTCATGTTTTGTTATTTGTCAAGGAAAACTCCTGTAATTACACCCCCCCCCACCCTGGTCCTCAGCTTTTTGGATTGCAGTGGCTCCCAGATGCAAACACAAACACCTATACATCCCCACCACTCCGTTACCCAACAAAAACAAGACCCCCAAATAAGATATCTTATTAATCTTATTTTTCTTACCCCATTGCCAAATATTTTAGCTTGTTTTAAGCAAATAATCACTTAATTTTTACGTTTTTTTTTTTTTTTTTAAACAAGACAATTTCTTAAGCTATTTCATGTGTCTAGTATATATATATCTTGCTTTAACGTTTTTAAGATATTTGGATTGAAAAAAGGGCAAAACTATTTAGTTTTTTATTTTATTATTATAACTATTATTATTATTATTATTATTATTATTATAACACCTCAGGGATGAGCTTTTTTGAATAAAGGATTGGAAATGAATGCTTTTCTTTTTTTTCCCCAATTCAACGATTAATCGAATAAATAATCGACATATTAATCAACTATAAAATCATCGTTAGTTGCAGCCCTAGTTGAGCATAACATGCATTAAACCAATCAAAGTCTGATCTCCCATTACCTTTAAGAGTCAGTTGCTTCACACCATGGCGCATTTGCTATTTACATGGCGGTGTTTGTAAGTAAAAAAACTGAACGCTTCACTAGCGAGAAAACAGCTAAACAGACCATCTGCAGCAGGAGGATAAAGAACAAGCCTCCTCCAATCAGCCTCTTTACTTTCTCTTTACTTTACTTTTATTCCTTTACTTTCCTGAAGTAAGGAAACAGTGAAGTACTCACTCCACAGAAAAAATCCATTAGCGTACATATTTAATTTAGCTT